GTGGGTGATTTAGAGAGGTGGGGGAGGGGGGGGGTGAAGGTTTTGGGGTTAAGGGTAAGGACCCAGTACGGCCATGGAAGCGCGTGCATCCGCACTGGAGCACGAAGGGCAGGGCGGATTTTTGGGGTGTAAACCATAAGCCCGAAGCCCTAAACCCTAAGCCCTGAACCCTAACCCTAGACCCTAAACCAGGGATCTGAGGCCCTGGGGCTTGTGCAGGCGGGGTGTCTGATTGGTCTGTTTTCCAAGCGCAGTAGAATCTTAGTAACCCCCGCGCCCCGCCAAGTACCTTTTCTGCCAGCGCGAATCCCGGGATATGCACAGCGGCTGCAGGAGCACCAACCAAGGCGGTAAGATTTACAGTGGTTTGCTAAAATAGTTTAGACGGCCCAGCACAGTTACCAAGGCGCCTTGCTAAAATAGTATTTATTATTCTAGAGGATTGATGACTGATGCTCTCTGAAAAAGGCTTCCTGATTCTGATTGTGAGATCACGATGCAGCCGATGAATTAGAGGACTTTGCCTTCCTCTTGCCCTTCTTCTCCTTCTTGTCCTTGGCCGCCGCGGCTTTGGCTTTGGCCTTGCCCTTTGCCCGGCCTTTAGCTTTGGCCTTGCCCTTCGCCTTCGCCTTCGGGATCGGTGATGTTGAAGAAGATGATGAAGATGAAGATGAAGACGACGAGGACTTCACTGCTGGCTCAGCTGGCGCAGGCTTTGGCGAAGGCTTAGGGACGGGCGCCGACTGCACCTCCAGCAAAAGAAGCCAACACAATAGGACCAATAAACGCACTACTCCAAATAATACTTATCATAACAAGTTATATGACAAGTAATTTTCAAATCCTTGTCGAGTCTCAGGGTGGCTGCGCGGTGGAGCCACTGGTGTGGCCTTCTCCACCTGCTGGTTGATCTCAGCCTGGGAGAGGAAGCCACATGCCTTCCAGTGATTCAGAAGGCTGGTGGCGGCCATGCGATTTTCAGCTGAGTCCTGCGGGTGACTGTGTTCGAGATTTACTCTGACTGACTTGGAATAATAAAACATGTTTCTCATAGCGTGTCCTGAACCATGATCTTGATGATGAGATTCACGATGGGCTTCCAGGCGGCATCGTTGCGCAGCAGAGAAGGTGACACCATGCTCAACGAGTGCAAGGTGTTGCTCCTGATGGTTGGCTGCTTGCCTCGGCCGGCTGTCTAGGATCACACCTTGTTATCAAATTTCCTTAAGGTTCACTTTCTACGACTCATAACAAGGACAATGATCAGAATCGAGGCCACATTACAGAGCCACTTGTGCAAAACCCCCAAGATGCCATGATCCAGAAGCCGATAGCAGAAGGCATCATCCCGGCCCCAGATGGTAAGACGACGCAAAGCGGCTGCCATCGTCTCGTAGTCCGGGTTCTCTGTCTTGAACAACTCCACGATGGCCCGCAGACTCTGATTCTGGCCAGATGATGGAGCTGCTGTATCCTGGGCGGGGACGCCTAATCTTACTTAAGTAAGTTCTCTATTGTATAATTAGAAACGAAGCCAATCCGGGTTCAAGCCGCTGACCCAGCAGATGCCTGATGAGCAGATGCCGTCGCCCTGCTCACAGCCTCTGCCATGGCCCTCTGATGGGCAGCAGATGATGCCAGATCCTCCGCCCTGCTGCGATCGGCCGCAGCCTGCGCCGCCAGCTCCTCCGCCTTCTTGCGATCCTCCGCAGCCGCCACCTTAAGTGAAGGCATGTATCTGGCAACAAATAGAATCATTTTAATTTTGGCCTTCAGCATTACTTTGATTACCCTTCAAAAACAAGCCAAGTCATGCCGAGCAGCACGGTCCTTGTGTGCGCGGCTGCGCTCGATCGTGCTGGGCTTCTTCTTCCAGTTCTGCTTCTGGCCCTTTTTGCTGCGCGAATGCGGCATGGCGGCAGAAAAATGAGGACTACTAAATGATCTTGATGTAAATTCTCGAGTGATTCCAGTGCAGCTAGCTGGTGCCCCAGAAAGCATTGGCCACTTGGCCTAGTAGGTCCCAGACGCCCGGGACTGAGTGGATGATATAGTACTGTATCTGTGTTTATGATAGCATTCTAGTACGGCTAGCTGGTTGTAGTACTTATTGCCGGGCTGCGGCAGTAGTCACTTCGTAGAGTATACTATGATAGTAGCACTATATCTGTGATTATAGTAGCATTGTAATAATGGACTACTGTCACTAATGGACTTGAACCGAGATGGTTCTGGAAAGGTGTTAAAAACCCCTAGCTTTGAATCCTTTACCCGAAGTGAAGCCCATGACCCTAAACCCCTAGCCCCGAGCCCGAAACCCTAAACCCTTTTGCAT